GAGATAGACTTTTGTGCTCCGGTGACATCTCTTGTATTGGGATTTTTTATCGTCCATACATGTTTTTCATTGTCTTGAATTTTTTTATAATCATGTAATGGAGGAAAATTTGAGGCATAATTTGAACTTTGAGGGTCAGAAGCCAAGCATTCTGGAATGTGATTTTTTCTTTCAGAATCATCATTCTAATCATCCCTCCTGTAGGGATAATTTTTGAAATTTCTGATACAGTGGTTTTAGGTTTCTGACAATTATAAGTCACATAATAATCCCATTTTCCTGAACTCTCACCAAGTAATCCAATAGTTGGATCACCTTCAATATATCTCTGATGAAGCTTTTGTTGAGATGAATTTTTTTTTTTTTTTCTTTCTTAGTATTTCTTCAAAATCATCTTGAAGACAAGTGGAACAGTTGTAAGTATCAAACCAATTATGACCATCAGAAGTTTTCTGTTCGTAAATTAGTTTCCCTTTTTTGTCAAAGGCCACGACTGAAACTTTTTTAAGAAGACCTTGAAATTGGGTAGGGAATATTTCTCTGGTTTGAACTGTTCCATCAGGCATTCATGTCATCCTGGAGTCAGATTGCACCACTGGCTGACTTTGATTTTGAAAATTTTCATAGTTTGTCACCCATGTGGATGGGATCAATTCAAGCAACCTTTCTCGAGATATTTATTTAGGAATGTAATGACAGACAGGCTGGGAATTATTGTCAGCCTTAATGAACAAGGCAGTATTTTCACATTCAGGGGGCAAAAGGGTAACTATATCAAAAGCATGGTTATATAATCTATACACCATTTGATAATGGAGTGTAGCTATAGTAGCTGTTTCAATTTGCTTGGTGCCAGTAATTTGTAATTGGACTTTGAAAGCAGAATTCAAATGAGGGTCTTTGATTGGGATATTAAAATTTGGGAAAAAGGTAACAAAAATGGTGCCAGCATTTAAGGTTATTTGGACAGTTCCAACAAATGCATGCTGGTATTCTAAAAATATGGAATCTAACAATGCAATTCGAAAAACTGCTTCCATACCTTTTCTACCATGGAAGGTTAAGGCTAATTTAATGGCTCCAAAATGAATATGAGTATACCCATCTTTAAGCCATTGGGGAAAACTGTTTCTGGGTAAAGTAATGGTGATGTACTGTTCAGCTTGGGTAGAAGGAATTTGATGTTGATCAAAAGAAGAAGCCTGAAGCTTGAACAAATTCTTTGAACAAAAGAAGAAGGACCGAACAAATTCAGGACCTCAGACCTATTCACTTACTGACTTCAGGCTGTAAGATCTTGGCCAAGGTTTTGGCAAATAGACTGAAAAATGTCATCTCTCTCATCATTCAAGGCCACCAATTTTCTTTTATTAAAGGAAGACATATCTTTGATGGAATTTTATTAGCACAGGAGGACATACATTCTACTAGAATTGAGGGTTCTATGGGTATTCTTTGTAAAGTTGATTTTGAAAAAGCCTATGATAGAGTTGAGTGGGACTTCCTTGATGAAATTCTCAGACTATTGGGCTTTGATCCTATTTGGAGGATATGGATTAGAGGATCCTTCTTCTCCACCCACCTTTCAATCCTTATCAATGGTAAACCTTGTGGTTATTTCCAAGCTACTAGGGGATTAAGACAAGGAGATCCTCTCTCTATATTTCTTTTTACACTAATAAGGGAATCTTTCAGTTTGATGATGAATTCAACAGTAAGGGCAAATCTCTTTGATGACCTTAGAATCCATGGTTGTGAGAACAACATCTCACATTTATAGTATGCTGATGACACCCTTATTCTTACCTTGGCTTCCATGGAACAAGTATAATGTATATGGTTATTTCTTAAGTGCTATAAATTGATATCTGGAGCAAAGATCAACCCACATAAGTCCAAACTTATTGGTATTAATTGTGAGTCTGCAGATCTAGAAAGTTGGGCTTCTTGCTTAGGCTGCGGTATAGAGGAGCTGCCAGCTATGTATTTAGATGTTCCCTATGCAAATGGAAGGTTGCCTAGATCTTCTTAGGATCCATAAATTAAAAGGTTCGAGTAGAAGCTTGATGGTTGGAAGAACACATCTTTTTTTTGGGGATAGAATTATTCCCATTAACTCAACTTTGGCCAACACTCTGGTTTAGTATCTATTCGTGTTTCGTGCACCTACTTTGGTCCTCAAAAAACTTGAATCTTTGATGCGCAATTTCCTTTGGAGTGGCTTTGCTACTCCTAAGAAGTACAATATGGTCAATAGGGAAAAGGTCTGCAAAGTAAAGAAAGAGTGTGGTTAGGCATCCTTAGACTCAAACATATGAATGATGTATTCCTAACGAAATGGTGGTGGAGAGTGTCTTTGGAACCTCGTCTTGAATGGAGGAAGATTATTTTTTTCTAAGTATGGCACTGATCAGAATGACATTTTCCCAAAAAAGATCTCTAGCAATCGATCATCCTCAATGATTTGGAAAGGGATCAATTATGTGAGTAATTTTTTCTTGTGTACTACAGATTGAAAGTGGGGGATGATGCTTTAACTAAGTTCTAGTTGGGGAAATGGTTGGGTGGTGCAATTCTCAAGGATCAACTCCCAGAAGCTTATCATAGAGCTGATGCCAAAAGTACAAAGATAATGGACAAGGTAGAGGGTCAGGGTTCTAATTGCTGCTGGAAGGTTAAACTTAAGGTTACGAGAATTGATGAGTTTGTAGAGCAGCAATTTTTTTCCTTAATCCAACAACTTAGTTCTTTTTTTTTCTTCCCCAACAGACATGATTCCTTAGTTTGGGGGCTTGCTCCTAGCGGTTTTTTTTCGGTTAAATCTCTGTATCATGAAGTTACTAATGAATAGATATTTGATTCCAACAACAGGAACACCAAGGTTGAGTAAAGGCTTTCTTGGAACAAGGCAGAGTTTTAACGGGATCAATTAAGAAAGAGAGGTAAGACCCTTGTTAACGTCTGTATTCTTTGCAAACAAGCAACATATGACTATAACCATCTTTTTCTTCATTGTCCCTTTGCTACCTTCTTCTGGAATTGGGCCTCTAGCCTCTCTAGATGGCATTGGGTCATGCTAAAAAATATGTTGCATTTTTTTGCTGTTGGTCTCAACCCCTTATTCCCTAAAGTGGGTATCCATCTTTGGTGCATTCTATATGCGGCAATGATGTGATCCTTGTGGAAAGAAAGAAACTCGAGGATTTTTGAAGGGGTAGTTCATGATCGCTTCAACATATCTTGGGGGATCTTCAAGCTCATTGTTCTTTGGGCTCATGCCTCCATATGTTTTAAGAGCTTCCCAAAAGAGCTTTTCTTAACCAACTTCCCGGATCTTCTTTCTTTTCGTCCTCACAAAACAATTAAGCCTTCTAAATGGATTCCTCCTCTACTTGGCTGGTTTAAGTTGAACTTTGATGGCAATATTTGAACCGAGACACAAAAAGCTGACTTTGGTAGACTCTTCTTAGAGATGCTTTGGGGAGTACTATCTTCTCCTATTCTGGGGGCTTAACTTTTGTGAGATCAATAAGGCTGAAATGAAGGCGGTCAAAGAGGGTGTTACCAGGCTACAAGATGGTCATGAGCACATTATTATCGAAGGAAACTCAGCAAATGTTATCAAATGGTGCTCCTAGCCTCTTTCAATTCCTTGGCAATGGACTTCCATTATGGATGAAATTTCTTTGGAATTATATACCAAAGAGGTTATTTTTGCCACCTCAACAGGGAAAGAAATAGCGATGCAGATTGTCTTGCGAAATTGTCTTGCGAAACGGAAGGTCAATCAACCTAGATTTTTTTTTTTCCAAAATTAGCCCTCTGTCCAAGGATGCCATCCTTGAACCACTTTTTAATTTATTTTTTTAATTTATTTTTGTTAGTAGGGTAGTGCCTCTGTCTAGAAGACAGTCCGAGGTTGGCATCCTCGGACCGCCTTATTTCTTATTTCCGCCCGGAAGAGCACTTAAGAAGGCAGTTCGAGAATGGGCATCTCAGACCACCTCTAAATGCTTAATAAAGTCAATCTTTGCAGTCCGAGGATGCCAACCTCAAACCGCTTTAAAGAGCACTACAAAGGTTGGTCTAATGATTCTAATTGGGCACTACATTAGGGTAGAGCCCTGCTACAGAAAAATCTCAAAAAATAAAATAAAATGCAGTCAGAGGATGGTATCCTCAAACCGAAGGGCGATTTTGAAAAAAATAAAAACTTCAGGTTGACCGACCTTCCATATGATTTTAATCCAAAATTGACACATAGCATTTGTGTCCCTACATAATTCACTCAAAAAAGAAAAAGAAACACATATTTCAAGAAATAGAAATATATAGATGGAAAGACTAAACCCCTCTTAGTGTTAGTTTTTAAAAGAAAAAGGGTTTGATAGGGCTGCGGCCCTATTAAAGTAAGTAAAGCCCCAGTTCATAACTCATCGAAAATTGTAATTCAAGCATTGGAAAACCTTTACATTAATCATCTCCATCTCAACTTTAACATTATGATTGAAGAAATAGGATTTCATGCTCTAAAAATATTGTATATTGTAACAAATTATCTAAACCGTCTATTTAGCATTGAAAATAAGTGTTCAGAGATCCGCAAGATTTGTATATATTTTTTAGTTTCAAATTTTATTGTCAGTGTTGACAATTGATTTTAGAGCCATCATGAAAATTTCTGTTGCAGAAAGTGCTTTCCCAAGAGGTGGGGCTTTGTTTTGTTTTCATAAAGCCTAAGCCCTCTAGAAAGTTCACCCTTTTGAAAATAAAGAAACAATAGCGTGCATTTCAGGGGAATTTAAGAGATCTTCGGTCTGGCTTTAAATTAGAGAGCATGAGAAGGGTAGTAATATATATAATTGAATTATTGACTGGAACTATTGAGAGAGAGAGAGAGAGAGAGAGAGAGAGAGAGAGAGAGAGAGATTCATAAAAAGTACAAGAAAGAATGGAGGATATAATGGACAGCTTTGTCATTTGCTTACTGGTTTCCTGACATTACTAAGCTCATGTATGAAGCGAAGATTCCAATGCAGCATAATTCTCAAACAAACCGTCTCATTCTCTCTCCTTGGCTTTTCTTGCACCTCCCAACAAACCCCATCCCTCGAAATTCACTTTCTCCTACACTCTATAACTCACATGTCTGCGTGTTACAGTGTTCCAAATGCAAAAACCAGATACTTACTTCCCTCCCCCTTTACCATGACATAAAACCTCTCTCTATCTCTCTCTCTCTCTCTTTCTGTAGTTCGAGTCAGAGTTAGGCACCATGACATCAGGCCAAACAGGTAGAAATAGGAGCCTCGAGAGCCTGATGGTTATGGACAAGCCCGCTATGGTTCCCACTGCCCACGCTCTACACAAAGGAATTAGTGGCCAGGGGCTTGAATTTGAGAACCTCTCTTATAGTGTCCTGAAGAAACAGAAAAAGGATGGAGTATGGATCACAAAAGAAGCTTATCTTCTTAATGATATTTCAGGCCGAGCTCTCAGAGGACAGGTCACAGCTATCATGGGACCTAGTGGAGCAGGGAAATCAACTTTTCTCGATGCTCTCGCTGGTCGAATTGCCCAAGGAAGCCTCGAGGGATCAGTTAGCATCAATGGTCGACCGGTTTGTCAATTCTTCTCTCTATTATGCATTCTTTGTCTCTGTGGATGGTATAATGTTTGGTGTTTCATTTGGCTTTTCCTTCTCTCTAACTTGAGTTTGGTGCTCATCCTCCTCTCTTAACTTGAGTTTGGTGCTCATTACGAAGGTTCCATTTTCTAATTTGTGCAGGTAACAACAAGCTACATGAAAAAGGTTTCTTCCTACGTGATGCAAGAGGATCAGCTCTTCCCCATGTTGACAGTCTTTGAGACTTTTATGTTTGCTGCAGAGGTGAGGCTACCTCCTTCAGTTTCGAGATCCGAGAAGAGGCGCCGAGTGCATGAGCTTCTTGACCAACTTGGCTTACAGGTCAGCCTATTCTTTATCATTTGGAGAGAGAGAGACACAGAGAGAGCTTAAAATTCAAGTTCTACGATTGTTTTGACATGCAGAGTGCTGCTCATACATACATTGGCGACGAAGGAAGAAGGGGGGTTTCGGGAGGAGAGAGACGCAGAGTTTCTATAGGGATAGACATCATACACAAGCCATCTTTGCTATTCCTTGATGAACCAACCTCAGGCCTTGACTCCAGCAGTGCCTTCAGTGTGGTGGACAAGGTAAAGGACATTGCAAAAGGTGGAAGCATTGTTCTCATGACAATACACCAGCCTTCTTTCAGGATCCAGATGCTCCTCGACCAAATTGTTGTTCTTGCAAGGTAACCCCAAGTATAATGTCAATCCCAACTAGTTTCAAATGCATTCACTCCTTGATTTCTCATGTTTTCAAGATTAACTACATTCCTTCCATCCTCGAGTAATAGATGCATATAGCCCACTGGAATCATGTTTCAACAATCTAAATTACAATAAAATAGATGACATCATTCCATAATTATTTTTGATTTACAGAGACTTCCACAGGAAAATGAAAAACATGAACAACTCACCTATGTCCAACTCGATTTCCCAGAAACTTTAGATAGTTTGAACAAAGATTCGCTGGTCCTCTAAGAACTCATTCATCTTCTCTTCATTTGTGGGATTCTGACATCAGGGGGAGATTGATATACCTGGGAAGCCCAACTTCTTTACCAGGTCATCTAGCTGGATTTGGAAGACAGGTTCCAGACGGAGAGAACAGCATAGAGTATCTCCTCGATGTCATCAAGGAATACGACGGGTCAACAATTGGTTTAGAGCCCCTGGTTGCATTCCAAAGGGCAGGCATAAAACCTGAACTTGCAGCAAGAACTCCGGTCCCAAAGACCCCACATCAAAGACCCAAAGTCACCAAAGTTATCAACCTTCAGAGCGTCCAATTCTCATTCAGTGGAATAGCCCATGGCCATGATCCCTCCTATGTCGAAGACGATGACCAAGAGGAATTCGACAACTCTCTAGAGAGGAAATCACATGTTTCAATGGCTAGCTCAGCCTATCCAAGGCTTGCATCTCACTTCTATAAGGATTTTCCAGCATGGATCTACCATGGAGTCAAAGGCACCCCTCAGAGGCGACCTTCTTGGACTCCTGCAAGAACACCTGGTCCAACCCCTGGTAAAACCCCCATTGTAACCCACAATCGTGGGACTAGGAAACCGAACCCAAACCCTAAAACACCTGTCTACCATCGAGGGCAAGATCACCACCACCTTGAAATCGAAGCGCCACGTGAACCGGACTACAGTCACTACCAAGCTCCAATGGACGCTCCAGACCATGGTCCGAAATTCGCCAACCCATTTCTCCGTGAAGTGGTGGTCCTCTCATGGAGGACCATGCTCAATGTTATTAGGACCCCTGAGCTCTTCCTCTCTAGAGAGATTGTCCTCACGGTCATGGCGCTCATACTCTCCACACTCTTTGGATCCCTCCATGACTTGCATGTCAAGACCATCAATAAGATTATGAACTTCTACATATTTTCTGTTTGTCTCATCTTCTTCTCCTCGAATGATGCTGTCCCCACCTTCATTCAAGAGAGGTTCATATTCATCAGGGAAACCTCCCATAATGCATACAGGGCCTCCTCTTATGTGATATCTTCCCTCTTGGTATACCTCCCTTTCTTCGCTGTCCAAGCCATAACTTTTGCTCTGATAACTCATTTCATGCTCCGCCTCAATAGTAACATGTTCTACTTTTGGCTCATCCTCTATGCTTCTCTCATCACCACCAATTCCTATGTGATGCTCGTTAGTGCTCTCGTCCCGAGTTATATCACGGGCTATGCAGTTGTGATTGCCACCACAGCGCTCTTCTTCCTCACCTGTGGCTTCTTCCTCAAGCGCACCAAGATCCCAATTTATTGGAAATGGCTTCATTACATCTCCGCCATCAAATACCCATTTGAAGCTTTGCTCACAAATGAGTTCAAGGGTGCCAGACATTGCTATAAAGGAAATCTTGCCGATCTCTCTCCGGGACCTTTGGGGCAGGTGAAGTTTAGCTCTCTGCATAACACAAGTGACAATTGCCCATTGATTGGACAGGATGTGTTAGAGACTATGGATATACAGATCGGGAGTATATGGCTCGATGTGGCAATCCTTCTTGCTTGGGGGGTTCTCTATCGCCTGTTCTTTTACGTGGTAGTCAGATTTTACTCCAAGAATCAGCGGAAATGAGTTGCTAATATTGCATTGAAGGAACTATATTATGACTTCGAACCATGCAAGCATTATTACTTCTTACTGTTTGCATCGTTTTTTGTGTGCATTTTATTGTAGATGTGCAATGGGGTTTGTGTAGGTGCTCTTGAATTAAGAGACTTTTTCACAAGCCAATATTCCTAAATTAAAGAACATTAAAATAATAGAACAGTAGACTGTTTGGGCATATCATAACGAACTAGCTCTCAATCCTTCATCAATGGCTCCTTTATGTCTCCTAGAACTAGGTATTGAGCTTTGTGAAAATAATAGTCTTTTTGGGGACATGAGAACTTATATACCTGGTTTCAAGTAATTGTGCATGGTTTCACCATCCAGAACATCTTTCAGCCATATGTGCATTCTATCATAAATACGTTATTTGCAAATCCTGGATTACAATTTCCATGGATCCAGACAGCCCCTAAACAAAAATCGAAAAGGATTCAAGACTTCTGATGAAGCCTTTAAAACTCTCATATACCCCATGGCAATCAGACGAATAGAATGACACCTGGTTTATACAAACCGGGATGAGGTTTTGGAGCTTACACATGAAAATGAGGCCACCGGTATAAGAAAATTTGCAAGTTAACAGCAATGAATGCAAAAAGTACTCTGAAAGATAAAAAGGAATGTTTCTCAATCTCATATATGCCACAGAGACAAGCCCAAACCATGTTAAACCAAAACCAGAACCTCAGCTTCATTCCACCAGCAATAACAGAGAATGTTGAAATTCAAGAGGATGCACAAACCCTCTTGATTTCAGAAATCTCACGAGCCACTTACATATTCCACTAATACACACATCATCCGTGAAAATAAAGCACCAAGTCACGTCAAATGCTGCAGAGAAATAAGCCAACAGTAAAACCAGATACATACTAATTCTAGATACCAGTTAGCGGAGACTCCCATACACACTCATGGGCTCTGAACCTTCCCCAAATGTAGTGCAATCTTCTTTTCAAGTTCTGTCTTATCAGCTCCGACTACCTTATCCAACTCTTTGCCATTTTTGATAAAGTAGAAGGTGGGGACACTGCTTATGTTCCACCGGGCTGCCACTTCCTTGAGCTCATCTACGTCAACCTTTAAAAATACAACTTCAAGGTATTTACTTGCTAACTCCTCAAAGACTGGAGCAATGAAGCGACAAGGGCCACACCATGCAGCAGTGAAATATAGAATTGCCAACCTAGACAAGACGTTGGCCGCATCAAACTTGGTTTCTAATTCTCTGGCAGAGTGTATGCCAATGACATGTCCTGCATAATTCCACAAGTCTAAGGGGTTAGTAATGGAACTATCGTGCTATGTTCACCGTACATGAAAAAACCACTAAAAACACAATCATATAATTAAAGCATTATAGAATATGTCATTGCCCCATACATAGTTTGAGCCCTAATGATCAAGAGAATAATCCCCATGGTAGGTTCCAAGGCATCTCTAGTTATCGAGTAAATAAAATCTTATCAGCATTTTGATGCTGAAATCATGTGATAAAAGAAATAAATTGTGTTGTAGGTTGCATGTCTCTTGTGCTATGCTTTCAAAATTGATATGGCTATATGCCAGTTACCCTCAATAGCCACAAAATCTGCACATGTGAAGTATCAAAATCCCATAGTAAACTGCTTAGCATCACGTACTCTGGTCCACTCAACAATGGAACGAGCTTTAGCACTTAAAAGATTCCTAATTCAGGAAATTAAGCATTGGATAGACCCAAGCAAAAATATACCCTAATGCTCTTATTCATTCCAAATCCATATGAATCGTGTACAATGCATTCGTGCACCAGTTACCCCACTAACATGATGTGCAATATGTGGTCGTGTGCTAGACAAGTAAATGAGCCCTTCAATGAGTCAGGTATAGGCCTGTATAGGTCATTCAACACACTATGCTAATTGAAGGCTGCCTTCCTAATTTCCACTAAGCTAAATGGTGTTCAAGCCATGAGACATATGAATGAGAAATTCAATCAAAGTCTTTAATAGTGGAACCTTTCCCTTTTCTCCAGTTTTAGCACAGAACAGTCGTCAAAGAAACATGAGGCAGCACCTAAAATTGGCTTGTCATGATCAAAAACTCTTTCACATTAATGCTTGCTATCGAGTTGATTCTTCCTCTATATTTTGTGATCGACGAAAGCAGGAGGTAGTCTCATTGCCTTCCTTGCGCCACTTAGCTCAACAATGCTGATACTAGTAAGTCTCCTCGCACTCCAGAAAATTCTAGAAATTTGTTATCGCCATAGTACCACATTCTAGCTGAATGACTACCTACTCTAGGTTTCAAGCTTCGATTCAAGTCGCTGTAGGTTCCTAGAGCGCCAAAAACCAGCCTATGCTTGACTTGGAAGGAAATCCACTATCTTTGATGAGCTTTGGTAATCACTATAACCTCCAATCACACAAGGTTTAGGCCCTGCCTCAGTAGGTTGGGTATCTAGCAGAATGGACAGGAAATCAAAAGTGGGTTTGGGGAGGGCTGTGGATAAATCTGTTTGGTATTGATCTTCCCAGCCATGAGAGAGAGGATAATCAACTTTGTTATGGGTGGGGTAACCATTTTGATTGGACCAAGTATACTTCACACCTTTGAGGGGATTTCCATCAATTCTTGTTTATAAAGAGACTTCGTGAAAACTCGTCTTTGTAATTCACTGTCTTCTTATCATTTTAAAAAGACCATCAGGAGACAATAGAATCCTCCCAGAGACCATAGGAGATGGTATCTATAACACACAGCTTCGAACTCCATCCTAGAAGTGCTGAAAGACACCAACAGAATCCATCACAAAACTATTTCTGTAAAATCTAGACAAAGGAAAGTATCCAGTTGGCAATCCTTTATTATAACCATGTCAGGATTCTAGAGAATCCAAATCCTTCAATATGCCCCTTTAGATCAATCATAAAAACTCAAACTCAGATCAATCAAGCTAGGATCCTGAGCCCGAGTCAGTAGTCTATCTCGGCCAAGTCTCACTATGACTCAATTCAGTCTCCTGTGCAAGTAATGTTGGGGTTGTGGCATTTAAAAGGTCTTTGCACTTGGTAGTTGGGTTTCAGCTCTCGTATACTCCCATGTGTTTAGGATGTGTTTCTTCCTCTCCCAAGAGTATGGCTCTACTCAGGTAAAAGTGACCATTAGAGAAATGTGAGTAGACTCCATGGATGAAAGAGGCCATGTGAGTAGACTCCATGGATGATAGAGGCCATGGGAGAGTTTTGACTCACGCATTTATGTTTTAGAACATTCTTAGATTGAGACAAGTGTTGAACTCACATGGCTGAAACAGTTCGCGTGAGCCTATCCTGCATAGATAAAACAGACCATTAGGAGAGATTAGCTCAACTTGGATAAAACAAACGATTAAAACAGTCATAAACAGGTTCTGCTTGGATGAAATATGGGGTTAAAGCTAGTTGGAGCTACCTCTATTCAGACATAATGGGCTCCATCACTCTTGCCTAAGCGTGCGACTAGGCCTTGGCTAGATGATGGGAACTGACCCCGGCCAAGATAAGGCTCAGTCCCTATGGTATGCATTGCAGAAGAGGGTATATGGGTACCTTGTCAAGGTCAGCATACTGTGGTGATGGAATTTATTTGGCTGGGATATGAAATAGGCTCCTGTATGTTTGGACGGTGGCTCACAAGTTCCTTAAATTTGCCATGGCCATATAGTGTGGCTAGTCACCTTTGTTTGGTTCAGTGATGGATCAGTAGTGTGCATGTTCCTAAGAGAAACTCCGTGCAATGCAGAAACCTGGATACTCCTATACATAGTTGGTCTAATTGGACACTAAAGTTGTCCTTAGGAAAATTACAAATCTATGGCTACCTATGGGACTTCTATGCCTTGGGCAACGTTGACAGATCAATCATGAATGGCTTAATGGGAGACATGGTTCATGGGTTTGTGGGGATGGCTTAAGGTCTAGAATATCGTTATAGGGTAGTTATAGAGTGCTTGGTAAAGGATCTAGTTCCAACGCTAGCACAATCTTCTTAGTTTTATTTTTTATTTTTTAGATAATTAAAAAAAGAGGTTTCTAAGTATCTAAAGGAAAAACACGTTTTTATTTTCTTCATTTAACCACCTAAACATTGCATAGTATTTTTTGTATATAATGAAAGGTTACTTTTGGAATAAATATTTTTTTTCATACAGAGACCTTGGAATGTTTTAGGGGTGAGGTTTGTATAGAGCCGAGGCTCTAAACAATCAAAGTAAAGCGCACTTTAAAATAGTTTCAATACTTTTTGTGATAGCTTTAAAAATATATTTTCATCTTTAATTATAAAATTTAAAGCTTCGAAAATAGTATAGATCGAGCAGATCTATGAAAACTTGAAAATCTTGAATATTGACGGTCCAAAAATGCATTACAAGATGCACTATTTTCAAAACTTGAAATCTCATGTCCATGCATCTTGATGCCGAGATGATCAATTTGAGCATAATTGGGCATCAAAACAACAACCTCTTCTAGTGAATTTTTGAGGTGGGCTCGAATTTGATTGTTTAGAGCCTCGACTCTATATAAACTTTTTCCATTTTTTATTGCTCTCATGAAACAATCGTTTGGGAGTTTTAATGGAACATTTGGGGTCCATTGATCGACATGTTTGGTATCCAATTGGACCACATGTGTTTCATCATTTCACCACGTGGACCCATCGGCGACAGGGGCTATATGGCTAGCCAAATCAAACTTGTGATGTGGGGCCCACTAGGTTTCCTATGTGGTGCATAAGTACCTAGATTGTGTCCTATATAGTTTTTGAACCAAGCAGTTCTCAAGTGGTTAGGTGGTTGGAAATATTCTAGAAATCTTGTAGAGATCTTAGGTAGATTTCTAGATCTTAGGTTGTTAGTAGAATCTTGGAAGGAATTTCTTTCTAATTGGAGTTGCAACCCAATTAAAAGTGGAAGTTTCATCGGAATGTTCTATCGGACTCCACATGGAATGAGAAAATTGTCGAATTAGAATACACCTGTAGATAATGGTGCATTGTCCACCAGTGATCTATGATGCTTGGCAAAGTGACGGATGGCTAAGATTAGTCATCTCACACCACAAATCTCCCATTAGAATTAGAGGGCAAGTTCACGTCATATCCACTCTACCCATCACTACTTATAAAGTGCACCCTACCACTTTTTGTGACATGGAATCTTTCATTAGGTTCTCTAGGGCAACATGAGCAAGGCGTTAGGGCCGTGCTTGGTTTTCACATGGTTTTTGAAAGGGAAAGAGAGATGGGGACGTGACTTCTAGGAGGTGTTGGGATAGATGAAGAAAGATGGAAAAATGGTGAATGGTTGAGAGTGATCTAGACTTTTCTTCCATCTCCTTGTCAGAGAGGTACAAGTAATAAGAGGAAGAGGAATTTCAACATGCAACTCCATCATTGTTTTGATGTTTTCTTTGCCCACAACAAAGGTATTCCTTTTTCCTAGTGGGATTTGGTTACAAAAATAGGTAGAGAAGGTGAGGCATGCATAAAGGGATTGTGTGAGGCATTGAGAGTTTTTTCAATTAGTTTTGTGCGAGAGATTCAAAGTAGTAGAAGGGCTTGCAACCTAAAGCGCCATGCCACTTTTTCACCCAAGACCTAGTGGAAGGGAAATTGCAATTTAGAAGGTGTGCATCAACCAGAGGGGATGGCGTATGGTGTACAAGTTCTTTAGGGGTGACTGGTCGGATCTGATTCTCGGGGTCGGGGGAGAACCCTCTCTCGTACAACCGCGGGGTCGCTCGCACGCGGACGTGGGGGTGCGTCGGCGTGGGGGCTCCTGTTGGCAGATAGGTACCAACAACGCGAGAGATTTTCAACAGCGGAGGGGGCTTTGGGGTGCTTGCCTCGCCGCTGGGGGTTCAAGGGTTACGCCCGGGCGATTAGCCCTTTTAGAACAATTAAGAAGCCCTCTGGCTGTCTGCGAGGTGGTTTGGATAGGGACTCCTTTCAAGCTCGCAACGTCTCTCAACTCTCTCTCTCTTGCTGGTGAATGGGATGGGATTCGATTGTTCCTCCTAGTGGCTGTCCTCTCGAGGGGGCTGGTCGATAGGAGGATGTGAGGGACCACGGGGGAAGGAGCCCGTGGGTACGCTCGGGTCCACGTATGTGTCGCGGACACGACGTGCTGCGTAGGACAAGCAAAGTGTGGAGGAAAGGGAGAGGATATGTCCGCACGTTCGGGGTCTCTAGGTACCCACGCGCTCAGGGGTATTTTTGCTCTCTCCTC